TCCAAACTGATCTTCTCCAAGTACATCCTCTATTTTCCTTTCAATTCTTCTTTTAAGTATCGTTGCTATTATCTTTGCTGTATGTGCAATAAGGCTTATTGTGCGATGGTCGCTGCATTTTGTAGCTTTTGTCTTTTTACAGTTCTATATACAACATAAAATGACGCTATGATACAATATTTACAGGGAGGCGAAGTTTACCGTCTTCAGCGATGACGCAATATGATGGGTAACTGACTTGTCCTATATCATGTAACAATGATCTATAGGCACGAAATAAATAAATAAATAAATAAATAAATAAATAAATAAATAAATAAATAAATAAATAAATAAATATAGAAATAAATAAATAAATAAATAAATAAATAAATAAATAAATAAATAAATAAATAAATAAATAAATAAATAAATAAATAAATAAATAAATAAATAAATAAATAAATAAATAAATAAATAAATAAATAAATAAATAAATAAATAAATAAATAAATAAATAAATAAATAAATAAATAAATAAATAAATAAATAAATAAATAAATAAATAAATAAATAAATAAATAAATAAATAAATAAATAAATAAATAAATAAATAAATAAATAAATAAATAAATAAATAAATAAATAAATAAATAAATAAATAAATAAATAAATAAATAAATAAATAAATAAATAAATAAATAAATAAATAAATAAATAAATAAATAAATAAATAAATAAATAAATAAATAAATAAATAAATAAATAAATAAATAAATAAATAAATAAATAAATAAATAAATAAATAAATAAATAAATAAATAAATAAATAAATAAATATAGAGAGACTTGCGGTTCGTGGGAACCTACTGTTGTCAACTTTCATCTGAAGATGTATTTAGCTGCCAGATTACAAGGCGTCTATCCCGGAAGGCCCTAATATTCATATTTTTTATTGTGGGAACCTGAGGTTTCAAACAGTATGGTGATTTCAAAAGCCTATTTCCTTTATAAAGGAAATTAGGATAAATTACAGCGAATGGAATATGATTCTTTCGATAGTTCCATTCTGCTATCGAAAGAGTATTCGATAGTGTCCATTAGTAATAAGCTCATCTGAGATGTAAAAGGGGCAAGGGAATAGAAATTAATGATGTTAATGATGATGTAACATACGTGGGGGTTATCATCCGTGGAGATGTCAATGTGGAATGTGAAAGTTAAAGACATATATGTATTCGTCTGAGTTGCAAGTTTTGTTGTGAATATTTAGTGTAGAGCGGCGTAGTAGGAAGAGAATCATAGGATATAAAATCGCACAAGCAGGAATGGATGCACAAATCAATCATATCCATCCTCCTACGTTAGAGGAGAGGCCTCCAGAATTTATTTCGAGTTGGTTTTATTGGGGTTAGTAATAAGAGAGCAAACATTTCTCTTTTGAAAGTGACATTTTGTGTGAATGTTTGGTTACGTACAACAGCATGCAAAGGAAGTTACATTTGCTACTACACTCTTCCTGATTATAGTAGTGAATTATGCTGTCATATTGTTTGTCTTTACTGTGTTCAGTACCACAGTATCTAGAGGGTAACTCGTTATCGTAAGAGAATTTTCATTTCATGCATCCTGTTGTGTTATAATATATAACGTCTTTATCAAGACAGTCACAACACAGCTATATCATGGTCAGTGCCTGGTTTTGGCTCTGCTGCATGTTTCGGCTAATAATAACCATCATCAGGCAAATACATGGTTAACATATATAACATTAATGTTAATTCGTATTTAGTTGCTGCCTCATCTTACAAAGTATTGTCCCTTCTATAGGCAATGTAAACGATGACTCTAAAATTCTAGGAGAAGTTCCCTTCATCTGTTATTGTGACTGTGGTAATATAACTTCCTGCCATAAGTGACAGTTTGGGTGCATTCTTATTGGCCCAACAGGCCTGTAACTGACGTAATAAAAATGCAGTTTCAGTAGGAAAATGGTTTTCTTACATGCAATTGGCCTTTTCATAGTTGGAAGCAACATAAATGCCCATAGTGCTTAAGGTCATTTAAACTTCAAAAAGAGTAAAATGTTTATAGGATGTTCAGATTTCTTTTGAATTTTAGTGCTGGGTGCTTCTATGGGATAGTAATTTTAATAAGCTGTAGCTACATGTGAACCATGGGTACTCATCATCATCATCAGTAATCTGTCAAGACGACAGGTCCACAGTCTCTTTCAAAACAATTCCTCCACTTAATGCGATCTAGAGCTTTCTCCTTCAAATGACAGTATCCTCTTCTGTNAAGGAAATATACCAAAAATTAAAAATGGTAGGATCTTGAACACAGTTTGTGGCGCCATCTGTGTTTAATATAGAAACCCCAAGTATTCAGTGATTCAGTATTGAGGGGGTGGGTTTCTCCATGCACCACAACTGATAGTCTATTTTACATCCCCCTTTTAATTTCTACCGTCTCCATCCCCTACTGATACTGGTGCTCGCTATCATCCCCTTTCTGCCAGCAAGGTTTCTACCCTCTACTAGGCAGTGGTATCTAATGATTAGTCCCTTTCTGTCAGCGAGGTCATCCCTCCTCTGGCAGTGGTACCTAATACCTCCCCATCTATCGGAGGCATTGGAAACTATTTGGGCGGGAAACTTTTTGGCCTAATTTGGCTCAGAGGCCTCCTAGAGGCATGAGGTTCTTTTACGTGCCGTAAATCTATGACACGGGACCCACGGCTTAAAGTCCCTCCCAGAGGACTTGTTCCCTGAATTTTTCCGCCCTTAAAAATTCCACGACCTCCACCGGGTTTGAACCCGTGTACCTTGAGTCATGAGGTGGGAACGTTATCCCTAGACTATGGAGGCCGCTAACTCCAAGTATAGTATGACCAGTAAAAACAGTCTTAAACACATTAAACATAATACAAATATTATGTTTCTGGACATTATCCATCATCCTGTTTTATTTATAACACAGTGTTTCAGCGACTGGATTCTTGTCGCCATCTTCATGTGGAAACTATTCAGTTGGGCCCAACTGATAGAGCTGGTCCTTATCTCTAGACATCTGCACCAAGACAAGATATATGTTATAAATGAAAACAGGACGATGGATAATGTCCAGAAACATAATATTTGTATTAATGTACCATTGTCACACACTTTTAGGTCTTATTCAGATAGACGTGTGTTTTTGTATTCTGCAGGAAGAACATTTATAGAACAAAATGGGTGGATTTTACTTGGTGCTGGTGTGCTGGTTTGCTATCTGTGGGTCAAGATACAGCCATACATAAAGAAATGGAGAAAACAACAGGATGAAAGGAGATATGCAGCATTTTGCCATAAGAGTATGTGGTATTAAAGAAGAATAATTTTGTTTTAAAATTGAAACCTAATGCAGTGTCATTTTTAGATTGATACTGTAAACTGAACGTTGCTGTTAAATGGCTAACACTCCTTCATGTTAGTGAGATCCCAGGTTCAGACATTGGCTATCCTGACTGAGATTTTTTTATGTTCTCTAAGCTCATCCAGGCAAGTGCCAGAGTCATCTCTCAAATTAGGCCACAAATGCTTCACTCACTTCCATTACAGTTCAGTAGCTGGTAATCATCCTATCATGCAATGCTACATAGTACTGATATCCGTCATGAAACCCAGGTAAACCTCGGTATATGCGTTTTCTATCAAAGAGAATTTCAGTTAACCTTTAAAGTACAGACTTTTAAATTGTCGGGAACCTGCTGCAGCCAGAATTTAAATGGCCCTAAGTTTTCAAATTTGCAGACTTTCAGAAAAAACTATATATTTTCCGTTCTGTGCAATATAGAACTATGCACTAAAAGCAGCCTGAAAAACAATAATATTTTCTACATCTACACAAAAGAGCAATTTTTACAAATGAAAATATTCTGTGATTATTTTGTTATGAAATGCAAAATATCTTTATTATATATTATGAAATTCCAAAGGACTAACCCATAGTTTTTTCTTGAAACTTGAAACATGTTGATTTTGTAAAAAAATAATCACACTATATGACACAAACTCCGTCCTAAGTGCAACAATTTATTGTAGTTCTTTCATCTTCCTTTCTTCTACACTACATGTTTTGGCCGTAAATGGCCATCATCAGATGTATACTCTCACATAGCTGCTTCACTGCACATAGTTTAAAATTTAAAAAACACTAGTCTTCCCAATTGTTCATTTCTCCATTGTCAACAGGTTTCGATATATCAGAATCCTCCTCGCCGATATCTGTCAGATATGTACAAAATCTTTGGTAACCTACACACGTCAATTTGATTTTTAAAAACTGGCACTTATTAAAATATTTAATTCCAATTTACATGATAGTATACACCTGATGATGGCCATTTACAGCCGAAACGTAGTGTAGAAGAAAGGAAGACGAAAGAACTACAATAAATTGTTGCACTTAGGATGGAGTTTGTGTCATATATTGTGTAGAGTGTAGCAGGATGCTTAAATATAATATTATAATCACACTATATACAATAATCTTGTTCAGACTGTACATGAGTATGAACCGTGTCACTTTACAGTTTATGAAAACTCCATTCAGTGCTCACACTCTGATGTGTGTGTGCCACTTCTCGAAGCAGTCCCTGACACACAGACCAACATCTCATTTTTACAACAGAAGAGGGTGCTCCTGATTTTCTTATTTAGTAAACGCACATGGCGTCTTTGTTTCCCTTTGGTTGGTTAGTGTTGTGAATGTTTCACTTCTAGTTGACTCATTTGGGCCCAAGATGAACTTGGCCTCCCTCGAGAAATGCCACTGACCTTTATATTTGCCTCATGTGATTGTAAAGTCAAATCTTACGCTAGGATATCACGGAATTTTAATGTGTCACATTTCCACCACACGACTTGTGCAGTAAATAGGCATTGAGAATAGTCATGTCTGGAAGGTAGAAAAACAATATCTTTGTCCATTTCCATGTCCTCCTGGCAATTCAATGTCTTATTTACCATCCTGTCAGCTTTATCCACAAAGCCCATATGTGGCATTGTAGCCTTCAATTACATGGGGTTTGACAGCATGGCGAGATTCATCTTGGAAGTTGCCATCCGTTGGAAGAGGGTGCAGGGTGCATATTCATCAGAACTTATACATCAACATATACATCCAACACACAACCCTTGTAACAATATCCCCTTTTTCCAATTTCATTCATTTGGGCTGCATTTCTTGTGGCATTCCACGCCTATCATTGCGACTGGTGCCACATGAATTTATTTTCCTCTCCAGTAGATCATCAGATAATGCAGGAGAACTGAAATAATTGTCCATGTAAATTTGTGTCCTAAGCCTTCTACTCTCTGAATTAGCTGAAGAACAGTGCCATGTGTTGATGTAATTTCTTCTGTTGCAAGTTGTCTTTGTTATCTTAAATAAACTGTCATATCATATGTATAGCCAAGAAAATCGCAGAGCTTGTAAATTTTTATACCAAATCTTTTGTGTTTCCTTGGAATATACTGACGAAAAATCGCTCTTCCCTTGAACAGCACTATGACCTCATCAACAGCAGTATGTTCTAATGGATTGTAAAGTTCACAAAATTTGTTGTTCAGATTGCAAAAAAAAAAAAATCCAATTTTCCAAAGCCTATCATAATTTGGGTCATCGCGATTTGAAGGAGCTTCATTATTTTCAATATGCAGTAATCTCAAAGTGTGGAAGAAATGATCTCATACCATGGTGTTATGATAGAATGAAGTGTAGTATTGCTCATCTCTTGACCAATAATCTTTGAGGCTGTCCCATTGATTGTGGCCCATTTGAATTATTATTGCCAAAAATTTATATAAATCTTCAATTGCAATATCAGGTGGTTGAGCAGAAGGGCCTGGAGCATCTGGCAAGCCATATATTGAAGGAAATATATATTGGTTTCTTGTAAGAAGATTTGGAATATTTGCTGGAAAAACAGAATGAAAATGGAAAATGACAATGCAATGACTGTGCATTTATATTGGGAGCAGCTGATTTGTTGATTCCACTTGGAGGACCAGTGAAATCTAGTACCTTTGGCGAATTCCCAGGTCTTCTAGCATGAAACTTGATTTCCATGTCCTCTGCCTCATTATCTGATGATAATGAAATATTTTCATAAGGTTCAGTGAACTCATTGAGTTCTTCTAAGTCATCATCAGATTCCTCTTCCATCAATATTTCCTCCAGATCTTCTGCATTAATAAGTTTTGAATATCGGGCACATTTTTTAAGTTCCATCTTGGGGGAGGGAGGTTTCCAGCTAAATCGAATAAATTATGATGACTGACAAAGCGACACTCATTTGTTAGTAACACTTGCTAAATAGTGATGAAAAATAATTATAATGATATTCGAAAGAATGCCAGTCGAACACTGATACCAAAAGTCACAGTGAAATCATGACCTCAAATTTATTGGTTTATTGTTAAAATAAATTCTCATCTGATTGCCAATGATCTCATTTTTATGGACACTAGAAAATGTCTGACAGAATTCCTCTTTTTAACAGTACTGTGCATTGGAAAAGAATTAATTATATCACTTATTAATGAATGTTAATGAAATCTCTGTATGCATTAGTTGTCATGCATATGCACGAGTTAAAATGAGTCAGTCTTGTTTACGTACTATGGGTGAATATCAACACTCAAGGAATTTTTCCTACATTTTACTGTGGCACCAAAAATTACCATTGTAAATTGATTTAATATATTTTAGATCCTGATTTAGTCCGTTCCCGCCAAGAAGCTATGGACATCTCAAGGCAGAGACTTCAGGAACAACATGATGAAAACGCCAAAGTGTATGCTGAAAAATTGAAAGAGGTTTGTAATAATAGTTGTGTGTAAGAAACACATTTTTATTTATGAATATTTTTGTCAGTCTCTTCAATATGCTATATACTGCATTCGAATGTGATAGGATTATTGCAGACTTGATAAATAACTAGTGGATATCATGAACAAATCTGTTTATGAGATCTTCTGAACATGCTACAAGCAATGTAACTGAACCGGAAACGGAACAGCAGAGATGAAGAACATAGATGGCGATAGTTTACCTAATGCTCTACTTTCAACAGAATGTTTCAGAAGACTGACTTACAAGCAACCATATTTGCAACTGTAATTTTAAGTTACTTGAAACTAATGCTGTAAAACATTACTTTACTGATTTTATTGACATAGGAATCTATCCAGAATATGATTCTTTTGTGTCCAGTATTGTTTGCCCTCAAAATTTTAATTTTCCATGAATGCAATTAGTGTTGCTTTGCTGACGATTTACATAGCTGCTATGATTTCTGCCTTCAGTTCTTAAGGCTATTAGTGGGTATGACTCACTGACAATAATCTCCTACTATTAGGTGTTCTACGAGTAGTAGTGAGTAAATAGGTCACAATTGATGTCAAATGTAAAACATGTGATGTTGAACCTGGATATACCATATTCCTTGACATTTCCTCCACCAACGTCGATACACTTGTCCCATTGCTTTGCCAGTGCATCGAAACCTGCAGAATAGAAGTCTTCTGACTACTGTCAGCCACTTCTGCACCTGGTCAGATATCATCTGTGAATTTTGAAAGTCCTTGATTGAATTTCTTGACCCAGCTGTGAACCACTGTACATGACAGACACTTCCCAGCATAAACAGGAAACATTTCCTTATTAATATCCTTTATGTTGAGTCAGTTTGCCCACAAAAAAAATGCACAACAGAGTGCTGCTCTTTGGTAGTTTACTTATCAAGCACAGTCGCCATTTTGACTACTGAAATCAGCCTCAGTATGCATGTGTGTCTGCAACCTAGTGATACACAAGAAAACCTATTATGTCCAATATGGCTGTTTTACTTCAATCTGTGACCAATTAACTGACTCTCCCTCATATGATTCATTTTGAAATGAAATTCAATAATTTCGGTGCAGCATCTTGTTTGATGACAGTGCATGAGTTCATGGTCTTTCATCACTTAAAATAGTGTGGGATGTTTTCTGGAGTTGGAAGGGATATGGTATTCAGTGAACATGGTGTAGCAGTAATGCTGTAGTTTTGTTTTTGGAAAGTGTTAAGTTTGAACTCGGCTAGGACACTGACTATCATGACTGAGGTTTTTCATGGTTTTTCTCGTCTCTCCAGGCAAATGCTAGGATGGGACCGTGATAAGCCATTACAGCCTCCTTCCACATCCTTTCCAGTTCATTAATCATTCTATCATTCGATGCTCTGCAGTTCAGTTTCTGACTTTGTCATTAAATTAGCAACAGAAGAAGAGTTACAGTATTTGAAAACACAGCCAAAAGAATGGATTTCATCATGAATGATTAGTACACCTACCTAGATCACAGCTTAGAATGCACCAGTGGGGGGTGGAGTCCAGCTGGGTCCACTCGGCACAGCAGTTACTGACTGGCCTATTGTACTTGCCCCGGGTGATTACGATGGTGGAGAATTTGGTGGAATGAAGATTGGCAGGGGAAACCGAAGTACTCGGAGAAACCCCTCCCCAGTGCCACTTTGTCCACCACAAATCCCACTTGACCAGACACAGGATCAAACCCGGGCTGCCACGGTGGGAAGCCAGCAACTAACCACATGAGCTATGGCGTGGCCTAGAATGCACTAACTGGAGTAGGAAAATTTTGCACAATAATAGGTTAGTTGAGTTCTGCAGATCGTACAACAAATTAGCAGGGCACCTATCAGAATTTTAATATAATAAACAATTTATGGCACATTGTTTTACTGTTTTACATATGATTCTGATTTTGTACAGCATGAAGCAAAGAAGAAGAAAGAATATCTTGAAAGGCAAGAAAGAAAAAGGCTAGTTGAAGTTGGTCACAGACTGTCAGAGCAAACCAGTTCTTCGCAGTCAAATAGCAAAGAACAGAAATCAGCAAAATCCTCACACCGACCAGGTATTGGAATATTTTCTTGACTAAAGTCAGAAGAATGCTCATGTGTTACTGATATTTATTGTAAGCTTGCTGGGTCCATTACAGCTTCACCAGAGCCCCACAGGCCATTGTTTTCATGGTTCCTGTTAGAACAGAGTTTCTTCTTACTGGTTATATAAAGGTCCTTGTAGATGCTTTGCAGCTCTAGTTTCTCCTTGATATTGTTTACTCATCCATGCAAAAATTCTGGGGCTGTAATTGAAACTGATGAAATATTGAATCTAAATGTTGACGTTATAGGGAATTTTGATGCTGATTTTGAACTTGATAGAATTGCTGATTTTCCATTTCAATTAAGAATTCTTTCTCTATGGATTGCTTAGGTATTTTTATTGTATAATGTAATATTATTATTATTATTTGGAGGGGGTGGGTTTCCCCATGCACTGCGACCATTTGTTGATCTAGTGTGCGTCCCCCTTTAATTCTAACTAGTCGCCATGCCATTCCAGTACTGGTGCTTGCTATCAGCCCTGTTCTGCCAGCAAGGTCGGCCCTCTCTGGCAGTGGTCCCCGATACTTCCCCATGTACCGGAGGAATTCGAAACTACTTGGGCGGGAAACTTGCCTAATTTTGCTCAGAGGTCTCCTAGACATGAGGATCTTTTACATGCCGTAAATCTATGACACAGGACACACAGCTTAAAGTCCCTCCCGGAGGACTTGTTCCCTGAATTTTTCCGCCCTTAAAAATTCCATGACCTCCACCGGGTTTGAACCCGCATACCTTGAGTCATGAGGTGGGAACATTACCCCTAGACTATGGAGGCCGCTCATATAGTGTAATAAATTGGGGCACAATGCTACAAGCTGGAAGGTCACGGGTTCAAGTCCCGATGAGGTGGATATTTTTCAGTGTAACTAATCCTTCCAGCTGCACTGTGGCCCTGGGGTCAACTCAGCCTCTAACAGAAATGAGTACCAGAAAGATTCCTGGGGGGTTAAGGGTGGCTGGCGCATAAGACTGACAACCTTACTGCCATCTGTGAGCCAACTGTTTAGAGAAAATGTGGGAGCCTCGACATCTCACAACCCCATGGGCCTCCACAGCCTGTTACAGTGATATGTTTACCTTTATAATGTAATGCATTACATAAATAATAAAGCCGCATGTGTGCACGCACACAGTATGAATTTTTCAAAATTTTTCGAGAGGAGAGGAAAACAAGGAAGTTTTAAACATGAAGTACTGAACTTCTTTGTTTTCACTGTTAGGTTTAGAAAGTGTTTCTTTATATATTTAAAATCAAATGAAAATGAAAACAGTGTTTAAACATCCAAGTACCTTTTTTTTATCTCAACCCCCATTGCTAAGATTTTGACCTATGAATTTTTGTTCCATGCATTTGCTGAAGACATTCTCGTCAAGTGAACTGCAGGAATGATCTAGAGATCACACATAATTTCTGTTTTATTCCAGTGGATATTGTAAGGCAGAGGTTCCAATACCCAGAGCCTCAACAGCCTTCTGGTAGGTCACATGCTGTCAAAATAATAAAGACTTATAGTTGGGAAGTTGTCAGTTCAAATCTCAGCTGGGATGTTGGCCATCACGATAGGTTCTTCATGGTTCTCCTCAGGTGCTTCAGAAAATGCCTGGATAGTACATCAATTAGGCCCTGACTGCTTCCCTCAAAACCCTGTTCCAATTCACATTCACCCCTTCACCCCTCCTACCCTTTGATAGCATGGTGTCTAGGCAGTGACAACGTATCAGAATAAACTGCACGACAGTCTTTTCTTCTCAGTTGATTCCCATCTCTTTGCCTCTCCTTAACATCCGCTAGTATCAGACTGTGAAACGTCTTGTTCTGGGTCATCCCAAAGGTCCTTATCTTTTAATTTTAATTCTAATACCCTTTTTGTTAACCTTGCTCTGTCTACTATTGCTACACAACCAAATCATCATAAGTTGTTTCTATGTCAACTGTATTATTAAATTCTGAATGCCTGTAGAATTCAGTAAGTGTAAAGTATTACTCAGCTATAACAGCCATGACATAGGCGTCTTCAGTTAATATGAACAGGTAACTGCAGAGTCCTTCTTGACAAGCTTATAGCCTTTTGTCTACTCAACATGTTCCATACCTTTTATGGAACCTGAACATTCATTACCATGGCCATAGGAGTTTGCCATTGGGCTGTCCTGACCAGATGGATCCAGACCTCACCCTCCCACCAATGTTCTTTAAGATATGTTCAGCAATTTTTAACTTTATTTTGAGTATAAATGTAGACCAGGTAAGTTCTGTATGGTTTGCTGCAGTATATGTACTGACAGAAAGTGCACTACTGGAATGAAACGTTAAGTTTCAAACATTACTCATTGGTATCTTTGCATTTGACAGATTACAATCCTCTGATGGGGGCAGGTGGGTCTGGTGGGTACAGGCCCCCTCGGCGCACCTGTCCTGGTGGTGGCTGTGGCGGCGGCTAGGCTGGAGGACGATCGAGGTGCACGGTCATTCTAGGACAATGAATATTCGTCATAGCATATCTGGGTCTATAAACATCCCTGTGAAGTCAGAGATCATATTCCATTTTATCTAAAAGACTTAAATATTTTTGTGTTTGTTTATATTTGTATCAGTACTGAACTTGTGTTGTCACCTGTTGTATGTTATGCTATGAAAATTTTGAAGTGATCTGTAAGCTGTTTTAATGCATTAGAGCATATTAATATATTATAAGACAGATCATTTATTCTTGCATATAATTCTGGAATAGTAATAACAATAAAAGATATTTAACACTTTATATTCTCTAAACTTCCTTTACACACTGACATTGAATGTAACATCAGTTCTAATAAAATCATTGAGCAGGTTCACTCAGAATAGCTTGTCTTGTAATTATGTGAAATATGAGATGCGTCCACTAGTTAATATGGCCTGATTTAGAACAGGAATGAACCCAGAAACAAAGTGATGATAAACACAGTACAGAGGATGGTAATCTTGGACCAGTCCTAGGAGCCGTGTGAGTCATACCTTGCAAATGAAAAGTCCTGTGTTAAACATGGCATCCCATGTGACATTTCTTGGGACCAATGTTCAGACGTTGACTAGGTTCCTACCAATATCCACGAAATCCTGAATATAACTTTATCTTTAAATGATGTTTCACTGACTTAAAATGAAGAAACTCAAAAACAGCTTGTCTGTATTAAGTTGACATGGAAGCAAGAGCAATGTGTCTGTTGTTTTTAACTTGAACACGTGATTCTGATGTCAGCCAAGGACGTCAGCGGGGAAGAAAGGACCGGCTTGCATCCTGATATCCGGAGAGGCCACTCCAAGGAACTTAACGGAGAAGAACCATTGCGCAGTTCACCTGTGTCTCTGGGAGTGCTGCCTATGTTCTTGAGGTGCATGCTGCTTCAATGTGCAGAGTTTTGCTGGAAAGACTGCTCACATTCAAAAAACAGCAACACACCATGACACTTTAAAACCAGTAACATATTTTAGTAAGTGGTATATTTACACGACCGCCTCCGTGGTCTAGTGGTCAGAGTACAGATCCAGAGATCCCTGGTTCAATTCCTGGCGCTACCAGATTTTCTGAGAAGTAGTGGGTCTGGAACAGGGTCCACCCAGCCTCGTGAGGATAATTGAGGAGCTATTTCAAGGAAATAGCGGCTCCAGTCTAGAAAACTGAGATTAACAGCCATGGGGATCCGTTGTGCTGACCACACGACACCCTTTATCGGCAAAATATTGGCACTAACTTCGCTGACAAGTGGCAGTTGCTCAGTCAGTATAGTTCACTTGTGGACTACAGACCACAGAGTTTGTTAGTGCTGTATGTTTACGCACATGAATCAGTGACTGGCAGACATACAGATAATTATGTATGTAGATTTCCATGGTGGAATAGAAACAGGCCTGTTATATTGCTTTCGGCTTTAGGAAATTTGACAAGAGGTGAGTGTTGATAAAACTGTTATCAATTCTGAATAGATAACTGCAGGTGTGTAGACTGATGCCACCAGTCTGTCTAATGGAGCAGCATGTCACAGATTTAGATGTACATATTTATTGCATGTCTGTCTTTTCAAAAAATTATACTAAATTCTCAGCATGTAATCTGCTATGTAAATACATGTCTGAGATGCAATTTCTTTCATATTGTCAAAGAACTTAAGGCAACTAGTCCTAAACATATGGTATATGAAATTGTTTCTCAGGTTTCAAATTGATGGACCGAAGAACATGGGCACAAAGTTTTACGTGTCCTACGTCATTCAGAATTACTGGAGTTTTGGACTTTTCCCATCGTCCGGTAGTCTAGAGAATGGAAAACACGATGTTTCGGAAATTGGATCTGTTTCCATCTTCAGGTGAAGAAGAAGACACGTACTCAGTTGAGCACCTTAGAAAGAGAATCTACAATGTCATTGTCATTTCAACCCCATACAAATTTGTTTGGTCCCAGGTTGAGAGATATTATAGCAGCAGCACTGGTCAAGATGGAACTGGAACAGAAGTTGTGAATAAGGTGTGAGAACAGTATTTGTGCAGGTCTGTATGTTCGTTTTTGTGTTGACCATAAAACAATGACTTCTATTGCTTATGTTTTGTAATAGTGCTGTAGAGTGTAGGCACACTGGCACAAATGTATTATCTCACCCCAACAGTGAGGGAGAATTATGTACATATTCTGTACTGTCAGTGCTGTGCTATGAACCAACATCTTGAAGCTTTCACAGCAACAGAATATAATTTTAAAATTTCATAATAGCAATTCAGTTCTCCTTATCCACATTTTGTTTTTCTGTTTCTAAACAGCTCTNACTTCAACAAACATTGCGAGTATTAATGGTTCACAAATTTGAGTTAATATATGTTGTTACTCAGTGTGGCCACAGATTAATTGTAATGTATTCTATACTGTCAGTGCTGTGCTATGAACCAACATCTTGAAGCTTTCACAGCAACAGAATATAATTTTAAAATTTCATAATAGCAATTCAGTTCTCCTTATCCACATTTTGTTTTTCTGTTTCTAAACAGCTCTCAGTATTGTCATTCATGCATACTTACTAGACTGTATAATGTATGTACTAAGAGACATACTAACCCAGTATGTTTTGATTTCCCACCAAGGTGTGATTACTATAGATGGCTTGCAAAAGAGAATCTGATTAAAATTTCATGACAATGTAATGTTAAAGATCACTAACTGGTCATGACACACCCTGGTTCATCCTCTGGTGCTGGTTTAACAGCATGATAACTAATTACAAATATTCAGATTGGCATGTAGGGAAATTTACCAGACCACAGCAACCACACCCTTAGTATTCTGCCAGATATCTCGCAATGTGTGGGCTGTCATAAATAGAGGTCTGCACAGTGAAGTTGAGAAATTTTATGCCACAGTGAAAGTTCATTTTGCAGTTAATTGAAGGTGTGGCATGTTATTTTACTTAATTATTCGTTTCTTGTTACAGAAACATGTTGCCTGATACAGAGTCAAAGTCTGTGAACAACTTATGCAAGATAACGATGAATAGGCTTACTGATGAAAGAACAGATCATCTACAGTGTGAAGCAGTGCCTGCAATAGCAGAGGTGCATGCCTTGAAATCAGAACAGGATGCAATGAAACTGTATTTTTACAGACTTAAATTTCAAAGTAAAAAAAATATTCTTCTTCTTAACTTGATTGTAAATGTTTAAGTATTGCTACAAAATTAAAACCTGCTTTAAAATTTAAGGAGAAAATGTGACTTACTGGTACAAGGGCTTAAGCAGTGTCAAACTAATATTTTAGTCATATATTTGTAAGAGTATTGCAGTCAAGTTTTGCTGATACGTCTCACTATTTGATTGCTTTACTGATAATACATATATACGTGGTTCTATCCAAAAGTTCCCGAAATATATTATTAAAAACTATTACCATCACCTTCAAAGTAGTCCTCTTGGGAGCACATACACCGATCCCAGCATTTCTGCCACTTTTGAAATGCATCTTGGAAGTCTTTCTTTGTTAGGGTGTTTAGTACAGTCTGCGTTTCCGCTTGAATTTCCTCAACTGTATCAAATTTTCGCCCCTTCAACTTGATTAAATCTTGGGGAAGAGAAAGAAGTCACATTGAGCTAAATCTGGCGAGTACAGTGGGTGGGGAACAACTGCCATCTTGTGTTTAGCCAAAAATTCCTGCACAATGTAAGCCATATGTGGTCGTGCGTTGTCATACTGGAGTACCCAGTCGTTCGTGCGCCACTTCTCTGGACGTTTTCTCCTCATGTGCTCCCTCAAACACCTTAGAACATCGCGACAGAACTCTTTATTGACTGTCTGACCAGGAGGGACAAACTCCTTATGAACAGTCCCGTCAATATAAAAAAAAAACAGATCAACATGGACTTAATGTTGCTCTTGACTTGTCAAGCTTTTTTTGGCTGAGGTGAAGAAGGGCTCTTCCATTGTGACGATTGCTGCTTGCTTTCAGGGTCGTAACCATAAACCCAACTTTCGTCACCAGTGACAATCTTTGAAAGAAAGATTGAATCCTCTTGAAGCTGCTGTTGAAGTTCCCTGCAGACTTCCAAGCGATGCTGCTTCTGTTCATTTTGCAGTAGTCATGGCACAAACTTCGCCGCAATCCTCCTCACGTTCAGTTCCTCTGACAGAATTCGTTGATATGTACCATCTTCGTCCCTAGGTGATACAGAGGTCTTGGATGGTCAGTCTACGATCTTGCAGAATCAGATCCCTAACTTTTGCGACATTTTCTTGTGTGGTGCCAGTTGATGGCCATCCCGAACGATCGTCATCATCGGTCAGTGTTGGGCCATTTTTGAAATGCTTATACCAGTCATAAGTTTGTGTCTGGCCTAAACTGTTGTCACCAAAAGCTTGCTTCAACATTTGGTGCGTTTCTGCAGCGGTTTTCCCAAGTTTAAAACAAAACTTTATACAGACACTCTGCTCTCTCAGGTCAGTCATCGCAAAACCGCAAACTCGCGGAAACACAACAGTGGAAATACGTTCAACAACAATACACCCAACCACTCAACCTGACGCTGCTTTCCACACTGATTCAAGAAGGGTGTGTGGGGAGACACCTAGCAGTATTTCAATGTACTCATAACCATTTGCGCAAAATTCAAATTTCGGGAACTTTTTGATACACCACATATTTGCCATGAGCAAAAAACATTCCGGTTACTTTCAGCATTGTGTTGTTTCTTTCCATTACATTCACTTCTCATGAGGCAATTGAGTGCTTTTAGGCAAAACACAGGGCTTCAGATCACTATACAAATTGTTCTTTGTCTTCAACTGTAATCCTAGTTTTTATGCTTCTAGAAGTGTATTATGTCTTGGCCTGGAGTGACATCCCATATGTCTTGTTTTTGTAGGTCTGTATGTTTTATGCCCTCACCTCATGGCTCTTTGCAACATGATTTAGATATATTTTTGATATTCCTATTTCAATACATATCAAAATATTTAGTAGCAATGTATTTCCCTTCTGTATACTGAATTTTGCATTGACATGGGTCATTTAAGTGTTCACATGAGTAAGTTATTGATTGAGTTAGATGTAGAATAAATTTCTATATTCTGAAACACAGAAACCTTTACATTATTCCATCACTCGACATTATCTAGAGGTCAGAACAGAAACAGTTTCCCTTAGCTTCTTGGTAGTCTCCCTAGGTACATACTATTCATGTACCTAAAAAGAAATGACATACAGTGAAATGTCATTAAATTTTTATTTACTATTAATTAGTTAAACACTGATAAAATACACATTTTAAGTTATACTCCTAATGGTAACAGAGTGATAGCCAGAATATAATTATAATTAACTGGAAAGCTATGAAAAATAATTAAGAAATGTCCTTAGGTATAACACAAAAACAATGTAAGTGCAAAACATAAACCTACATACCATGTTATTTATTCAATCAATCATTCGTTTAATTATTTTGAACTCTGAGACTGTATGGCTCTCTCACGTGAGGTTAAAATAAGTTTATATCTGAAGAGGTGTCTCTTTTACTAAGACAAACCTTCAGAACCATCAGAACATGAGTGTCAACACAACAGTCTCACTTTATTTTTTAATCTTTGAAATGGGTTATTGTAAACAAATCTGTACAGATATTATGTTTCTGGACATTATCCATTGTCCTGTTTTTACCTACAACACCACTGTTTTGAAATATAAACAGGGCAGTATTTTAGATAAAAACAGGCTGATTGATAATGTCCAGAAACATAATACTTGTACTAATGTACCATCATCACACACTTTATAAACAAAACTGAGTTAATTTCCATGCAAAAATGAAATGAAAATTCTGGAAAACTGTAAAACTGGTTAAATAACATAGTTCTTATGTGCATTTGTCAAAGACCAAATGAAAAAAGTGTTATAAGATTAGGCAGAATATAAAACTTAAGAGCACAAAATCGAAGTTTCCATGCATTCTGTTCATCTCACAGAAAGCAGCAATTAAAATGAAGAGTGACTCATGTATCTCACCATGAAGCCCTCATCACTGCTATTAGTAGGATCCAGAAACTATAATTTATGCACCATACTCTATAATGAAGACATTAACAAATTCAGTGTCATCAAGTAAAGTGATCTGTGAATTACAGTTTTGGCTTAAATTAAATTATATTAAAAGGTCTCGGCAAGAGCTTCGCCTAAATGCATTCCTGTAGGCTGTTGCATACATAAACACAGAAAGTGTGATGTTTTGTAGTTAGTTATCAGCAGCACTTAGAAATAAATGGTTAGTTTTTTAATTGTTCATTTTAAGAATGGGGAACGATTATCTGTAATAAGCAGTGACACTGCGAGCCATATGTGCCCAGAAATGAAGAACCTTATACCATGTGTGTCTTATAAGTAAATGTTGAACAATATTCTTCGTGAAACTGAGAAACAGATTTCTATGTAAGCAACATTACTTGAGGGATGTGTGTTTGAGCTTTTCCACAATGTCTTCCTCTTCCTATTAAAAGAAAATGAAAAAAACTGAAAAATATTACATAGAGCAGATGACAAAAGTGATGTAATATCAGTTAGACAAACTACTACTTTCTTTCTGTTTAAACAAAGTAACATTCTTCTAAGAGAATATGCATTCAATGGAACAGAGTCCTTCAAGAGCTAATAGTTGCTCAGCTAGGCCAGAAATTACCTGTCTTTTGTGGAATCCAAAGATTCATTACCACATTCACAACAGCCCTTGATTGGCCTCTACACTCACAACCTTTTCCATTTCCTTAAGATCCAATTTAATACCCTCCCATCTATTCTTGGGTCTCTTTTGAGGTTTTACAATTGGAATTTATGTGCATTTCTCACTCTCCCATGTGTGCTACATGCCTCACCCATGTAAATAGGGGAAAGTGAATACTACAAATTGCAAAACTCATTATGCAGTCATCTACACCTATTACTTACTTACTCTCACTCCTCCTCTCTCTCTTATATCAGTAGTTCTGCACTGGTGGTGTGAAGCCTCGTAAGTGGATATCTGACATATACCTCATACACTGTCAAAATGAGGTAAAAAGGGACTAAAATATTTTGACAGCTTTCTTTTATATAACATTTTCTGTGCATGGAAAAAATAATGTGTTCATATCTTATTGATGTTGATATTGCGCAGAGCTCTATGTCCACTTTGCAAGTGTCATCGTGGTGTGCTTAATTAAGCACAGTGAGAAGCTTACTTTTACCATGCTTGTAATGCACAGTAGCAACAACTAGTTTGATGTAAGAATTACATCACCATTAAAAAGGATTATATGAGCTTCACTCTGGCCAAGGTTTATGTCAACGGAAAACTTTTCTCCAGAAACACAGTCTTGTATTCAGTTGTCCTCAAACTGACACAGTCTTATATACAAGGAGTGATGTATCTGCACTTACTTGCTTTTTGGCCTCAGCAGCTTGTCTAACCTGGACATTGTACTGTTCTTGAAGCCTCCTGCGTGATGCTAACATTTCTCTTCTTTGACGGGCTTGTACATCTCTCACTAAAACATCCAGAATTCACATTCTCTTTGACATATTGACATGACTACTGTTGATTGGATTTTAAGACATCTTATGCGTGTGTACTATATTAATTTCCAGATGCACATGTTATGAATCCCACAAAANGTATTGACATTACTACAAAACATTCCTTTGTAGAAATAACACTGCTAATTGGATTTTAAGACATCTTATGCGTATGTACTATATTAATTTCCAGATGCACATGTTATGAATCCCACAAAAAAATCTGAAGTGTATTTCATTCAAACTAAAGAATTACTGTAAATTATCTAGCTCTCTGACCTTACATCACTGCCATTAAGATTCGCTGTATGATTGCAACAAACAAAAGCAGCATCACAAAATTGTGAAATAGTATGGAAACCCAACACTGGAAGCACAAGAAAACATTTTCACCTTCCAGATATTTAAAACATGATTTCTGATGCAACTAAACCCATGAATGATGGAAAACGAAATATATACTCCAATATATTTATTTTTACTGCATACTTTTTTGTTCTTCAGTCCTCAAAATTTTTGCTCATAACCTTATGTTATGTTCCAGTGTACAATGAACAGTGCAAGTTACCATAATTTTTCAGCAGATTTCTGAATTCAAAATATGTGCTGTACTGAAACGTCCTTGTGCTCACACTGCATGGTCATTTCAATTTTCAGATTCCACTGATGAACCAATATTTTTTTGTCACACTCTATAAGGTAAAATGTCTATAAGACACTCTGAAATATTGAAATTTGCACTGCTGCTTTCAAATCAGGTCTCTCCTGCTCTGAAGTCTGCATTATCAGGACCCATAAAACTGACTTATGACACAAGTAACTTTTCACAAATAACATAAAAGAACTGTATCCACAATGATCTCAATTTCATCAAGAAACTGTAAGGACTCTGATGTAATATTTTATTATTTTAGGCTGAACTTTCATATGACTTTCCATGTTAGAAACTTGAAAGGATTGACCTGAACTGGAATCATCTTCAGTTAACCCCCTTCCCCCATTTGTACTGCTTGTTCCAGTAGCATTTCTTTATTCCCAACACACAACCACCACCTGAAGCACTGACAGATCCTGTAACATGGCCACTGCTTGCAACAGCTCCTTAGTTGGTAAATCCTATATGGCGGAAGATTGCTCATACAAACTGGACAATTTTTTGGTTGGTTTTCTAAATTCTAGGTATGTTACAGCAATTCTTTTGGAATTCCTGGCTTTAAAAGGTGTGCAGTTTTCCAGTTGGTTCTATAAACTTGATGAACTTACCACAGTTATCTGACCTGGGTAATGCTGCAGTATTCCCTCCTCCCAAAACATGGCCACTTTTTGCAACAGCTGATTGTACAGCAAATCCTGTGATGGAATCAATAAGCGTAATCACCTCTGAATGATACAAAATGGACAATTTTTCAGTTACTATTTTGAATTCTAAAAACTAGCAGTTTTCCAGTTGGTTTTATAAATTTGGTGTACTTACCACAGCTATCTGATCTTGCTGATACTGCTGTGCTCCCAGCCACAAAAACATGGTTAGTGTTTGGAACAGTCCCTCGGTTAGCACGTCCTATGTGATAGAAGTAATACAGCAATAATCTCAGAATGACTCAGTCGGTATAACGACTGGCTACCGGCAGGTTGCCTGAGGGGCTGGGTTTTGAGTCCTGGTAGAGGTAAGATTGTTCTCCTCTCTATGTTTTCCAGACCAGTTCAGGGGCCCATCCAGACTTACACCCAATGAATACCAAGGACTCTTTCCCCGGAGGTAAAGTAGCCAGGGTGCGAGGCTAACCACAAATCTGCAACTACTGCTGCAAGAATACATGATCTAAACATTCACTCCCCCCTATATATTCATGCATATTGCTTAATTAGTTAAGCACAGGGCAAACTTTACTTTACCTTATAACTGCTCTTAAAAAAAAAGGATGTTTTTCTGCTTATGTTCAATGAAACCATGACTGCTTGCAAGGAATGGTGTACAGCTGCCGGTAGTCTGCAGCATACAGCCAGGACTCGCTACACCTGCTTGAACAACATGACCTGACGCCCTATACTACTACTATCTATGATTGTTCTCAAAAAGGATTCAAGTAACTTCAATATTATGAACGTAACAAACTTACCATTACTATTTGAGCTGGCCTGTGTAGCAGAATAGCCAGTTCCCAGAAAATAGTCACTGGTTCGATTAGGAAGACCTGCATAATAAATTAAGAATCTTTAGTGGATGAAGAAAGAACTGTTGTAGTGTTGTTAGTTGTTTTTTTTTTAAGTTTAACTGTTTAGCATGTAACATTCTGCTTGTCAAGATGTTAGGCACTTCATAAGTGGATGCACCCAATTTTAATTTCATAAAAGTATGGCAGCATTAATTCCTTGTGTCCTAATTTAAATTTTGCACTGCGTGACTTGCTAATGGTATTTAAATGACCATATGACTAAGAGTGACGAAAAAGGCAGTCAGTCAAAGCTACGGAGTAGCTAAGGTTATGGTCTTTGGAATGTGAAGCCATGTAGTTTGGTAAGTTGGTATTAGTGTATACCAGGTTCCTGTGAAACACTGGTACCTATCTACTAAACTATATCACATTACATCCCTTTGTATTCACCACTGCCAGAATATAAAATCTCATATAGTGTTGGGTAGTTGTATGGGTTTTCACTATGGCCATAAGTCCTGAAACATTAAAAATGACAACTTTAGAAAGAATTTTAACACTAAAAAGACCTTCATTACAATGGCAGTTTGTTTGCTTATTTTGTTTATGCTGTTTACTTTTTTTAATTTCTCATGACTCCTTACTGTAAGATAATGCTAGCTAGCAACTGTTTCATGAATCTTGTACATCTTTAGAGTGATGACTGTGTGAAAATCTGATTTCTAATTCCTAGTGTTTGACAAATGTTGCAAATTTTACATTCAGAGTCTTTCATTTTTTACAAAATACATTATATCCTAAATAATTACAAGTATTAATTTATTTGAAGGGGGCACACGGTAGCGTAGTTGGTTGAGGCACTATGCTACAAGCCGGAAGGTCACAGGATCGAATCCTGATGAGGTCACTGAATTTTTAAATTGACCTAATCCTTCCAGCCGCACTATGAACCTGGGGCAGACTCAGCCTCTTAACAGAAATGAGTACCAGGAATCTTCCTGGGGGTAAAGGGTGGACAGTGCGCAAGGCTGACATTACCACCATCTATGAGCCAAATGTGTAGAAAATGTGGGAACCTCAACATCTCACAACCCTATGGGCCTCCACAGCCTGTTACAGGGATACCTTTACTTTTTACTTTATTAATTTATTCCAATATCTATTATTAATGTATATCTTTTAATTAGTTCCATGCTTCAAGAGCTGTAATTACACACATTTTACAGGTGTTGGAGTGCTATTTACTCACTGTATCTGCTGGTGTTGCCCAGTGCAGCAGATCTTGCCACAGTCTCAGGTCTCACATCTCTCTGTCCTGTCAGTTTCATTCCTTTGCTTTGTTCTTGCTAGAATGCAAAACCGCTTCAATCAGTAACATAATGGTTAACTTAAGGCAGGAAAATTTACTACGGTAAAGCTATCCCTGTAACAGGGCGTGGAAGCCCACAGGGGTGAGACATCGAGGCTCCCACATCTTCTAGACAATCTGCTCACAGATGATGGTGAGGTTGTCAGCATTATGCGCTCGCCACCCTTTACCCCCAAGAAGATTCCTGGTACTCATTTCTGTTAGAGGTTGAGTCAACGCCAGGACCATAGTATGGCTGGAAGGATTAGATAAATTGAAAAAATCCAATGACATCATTGGGTACCGAACCTGCAACCTTTCAGCTTGTAGCATAGTGTCTCAACAAAGAAAAATTTACAAAACTTAAATGAATATTCATCTAGTTCATGTTCCCTAGAGTAATAAATTTAAGTGTTCTTTCACACTGCACCAAAATCTGTGTAATGCCTAAATATCTATTCATGTAAAGAAAAGCTTAAACAGTGTTGAGTTTTCAAATATTACACCAGAGTCAAAATAAGGAAACCTGATTAGAACTGGATTAAAATCAAACATTTTAAACTTACTGCTCATACATTTTAATATCCTACATAACTGCTACTTGTCTTACAGTCACAGTGGCATTTCTAGTGAAGAATATGTTCTGTAACTTAGGTAGGGGCACTGGTTCTGATAACATTTTATACTACTGTAAATTATGCTATCACTGTAAAATATAGAATCTTTTGTTAAAAAACAAATTCAGATAATTTACTGACAAGTCATATCTGATTGGAAGAAAGACTCAGCTCAAACTTCATATTAAAAATAAATTCTAGTAAAAAATTATAGCATACCAAATTATATATATATATAATATTCTCGCAAACGAATCCATCATGGGCCCTTGTGAACACAGTAATAGACCTTCAGGCTCCATAAATTTGGGGGAGGGGGATTTCTTGGCAACTATTAACTTCTGAAGATGGGCTCTGCTCATTTAATTGCTATAAAAAATATATTTTCTGTTTTCTGTGATAAAAACACTTTCCTTTGCACTGGATAATTTCATTCATATGGATAAAATGTTTACAGAATGTCAAGTTAACCCAAGTTTAAACTAATTTAAATTATTTAAAATAAATCCACAACACCAACCCTCCTCTGCAACGACTGGACTGCCTCCTTATCTCTCTGAATTCTTTGCTGAACAGGAGCATTATATTGCTGCTCTAGCCAACTCTGTTCTGTTTCATTCATATCTTGTTGATTCTCCACATAATCGTGTAGCAGGTTCTGTTCTGCTGTTCTTCCTGTTCCCAGAACACGGCCAGGCCTAACAAGAGCTTCTTGTCTAGCTAGCCATGCTTCACGTTTCTTCTGTTCTCTCTAACAGCAATCATAATTAGTTAGTACCAGTTAATTCATAAAAGGCTGTTTACTTCTATGTTTACATCACATATAAAATTAAGTCACTGATGTTCATATTTTATGAATTTTATGATATCTGTAGTCATACACATCTTTTTTTCTACAGTGAAATCACAGAGCTACCCAAAAGTAGTTCAACAGCTCAGGCAGGTCTCATGAAACCAAGAGTCTGTATACATTCACTTTCTCACATCAGCTACAATGAAGTGGGCTTCTGTGTTATGTGCCAACCAACTATAAACCTGCATCCCTTATTAATGTACAGAGAGTTGTTTGTAACTTTGTTGCCCAGTTCATGGCTCTGTGCCTCACAGCGACTGTTGCACCACTGGCTGTGAGGAGCATATTAATTTTGCTGATGCCTGATGGCCGATAACGTTTACAATGAAGGAAAGTGATTAACTTGTGGACTGCTTGACACCATTTTGTTTTACAGAGAGGAGTGCAGTTTATGTGTGGGAGTTTGATTTTCCAGCAGCAGGTAACAGTTATCAACTCCATTAGCCATTGGTTCTCAGTTATGGTTAGCGAGCGGTATGGTACTTCATGGTGCAGTATACTTTAGAGTAATGTCTATTTCTGTATGATACCAATACCAAATACGGATCTGCTAGAAAGTGCTGGCGAAAATCTTTTCGTAAATTTTGTGATGCAGTTCCCAGCAGACAAACAATACACAGTTTGGTGAATAAACTTAGAACAATGGGACTCTTAATAGACAAGAAACAAAAACATAAAGAGCTGAGTGCTTACTGCGAAGTTAGATGACATGGGGGGGGGCAGACTTCAACGTACACCTAGAAAATCACTGAAATTTGTAACTCAAGAGACTGGAGTGTCAAAGTCTACTGCAAGAATTGCAACACAATTGCTGAATCTTAGACCCTATAAAACAAGAGTAATCCACGCCTTGCAGCCACACAATCCAACTAGCAAGGTTAATTTTTGCAGTTGGTTTCTACAGTCTGTCATCAAGGGTGAGATTGATCTGCAATTGACATTCTTTTCTGATGAAGCATGGTTTCATTTGCAGGGGTTCATAAATACACAGAATAATTGCTACTCGAGTTCACAAAATCCACATCTAACCCACTAAGTCCTCCATCCAGTGAAAGCTGGTGTCTGATGTGCTCTAAGTGCAAGAAGGATTGTTGTACCTGTTATTTTTTTTTAAGAAACAATTAATTGCGAAAGATACTTACACATAGAGGGGCAGCATTTTCAACACTCCTATAATCTGTGAATTGTTAACTACTTCATTCCGAAAGTTACTAACAGTCAGGCAGTCAAATTCATAAAAAAAAAAATCATACGTGGCAAGTGGTGCACCAGTTTCCATGAAGCGCACAGCCGTGGAACTGGTTAACAAAGTAATATTCCTCCCTGTATTAAACAGTTATGTTAATTCTTGTGTTGATATGCAGTGTATAAGATACAGATTGGAATGAGTGTTTATCTATGTGAAAAGTCATTCCATGCTGCTCTTGAATATCATTAAACACCTACAAAACTACATGGCATCACCGTAATATATATGTGGGTGTCTGTGCATGCACATGCATTTTTACAGTGAATTCCAGACGCACCAACCATTCTGAGCATCTAAGGAACCAGGATTCATGAAGCTTCTCTTGAATATTAGTTAAATATTGTTCAGGGCCGCGCCATAGCTCAAGCGGTTAGTCGCTGGCTTCCCACCGCGGTGGCCCAGGTTCGATCCTGGGTCTGGTCAAGTGGGATGTATGGTGGACAAAGTGGCGCCAGGGCTGGTTTTCTCTGAGTACTTCAGTTTCCCCTGCCAATCTTCATTCACCAATTGCTCCACAATCACCCTCACCTATCATCTGGGGCTGGTACAGTAGGCCAGAAGTGGCCACAGTACAAGGGACTTAGCCCCACCCCACTAGCAACTAAAAAAAATTGTTCAAATGTTTGGGAACTGCAGCACATGCAACAAATTGTTACTAACCTCCTTCTTTTTTTCAGCAGCTTCTTCTGCCTCCTTCTTGTATTTCATTTCCATTTTGCGACGAGCGTCTTCCACTGCAACTTGACGCATATGCATGCTGACACTATTCCCATCTAAACAGAATTTAACTCACAGCACAAAAGAATCTTTTATGTATGAATGAATGTATAAGGAGTGGGCCTTCTTGGCCCTTGCACCGTGACCACAGTGATCTACTGTGCCTAATCTTTTATGTAAGAATACATTTTTCTTGAAATAAGAACCGTCATTCTTCTTACGCCCAATTTTGCCGCCTATCACATTCTCCATAAATAATTAACTGCAGAACTGAATAGCCAACAATCAAGAATTTCAATGAATTATTATTCACTAACAGTGAACTTGTTTAAAAAAACATGGTCATGGTCATCTGTGATAGAAAGATGTGCTCCCAATTGGCATACACATTTCCCAAATGATTTCTTTGCAGTTTTACATACACTGTTTACTGTTGGTAGAAACACAGTTTTGCACCCAGGCAAAGTCAAGTAAATTAACCAGTGAACAATGTATGTTACTTAAAACTGTGAGAGATTATGATCAACATTAGTGATGAGACTCAGTTCAAAATTTGAGAGTGACCAGTATATTCTTGCTCAACTGATGCTCAGCTATTCTTTTCATATGAGAATCATAAATCGCTTTCTGTTGTCATTTTGCACACATCATTGGCCTTGGTGTTACATTCATTGTTGATACAAATCAATTACTGGAGACATAATTTATATTTCCACTGATAATGTGCTTAAACTCTGGAGCCTATAAACAATATTAGTGATGTAAATCAGTTCAGGCTTTACATATAATAATATCTACTGTCACACTACTGAAGTCAGAAATAATTTATATATTTTGTTAAATATACATAATATCCAAAAGTATTTCAAATAAGAGCTTTAAACTGTAATGTGATTTATGCTCCATGTAAAGTTGCCCAATGATGAACCACTTTTGAGAAATCTATATCTTCAATTTGAGCCTCGTGCAGTTACATGTGGTAAATTTTAACAAAAAACGATTAACTTGACGAAAGTTAGTATAGATAAAAATAACAAACTTAAGTGAAATGCATTAAGTATCTTTCAAGATGAAAGATATGGATGGACATGACTTCCCCATTTGGTGTACATTATATTCACACTGTACGAAGAACACTTAAAAGGATATCATCACATAAAAGTTACAATAAATACGAACTTGCAAACTGACTCGTGTTATTGCTGATTTAAATTAATGTAAGTCACCTTATATTATCAGGGGGAAAAATGCTGTTCTATATGTAGCCATGACAGTTATGCAAAGCTTGAGAAATGTTGTTGGCCTGACCCTGAAGTAAGTTCATTCTGAGATGCAGTTCATGGATTTACAATGGCACTTGTAACAATGGACTTCACTTCAGATTTTCCCATTCTCTTTAACTGATGTCAGTATGTTGGCAATGCCTGTTTAAACATTACAGAATGATTTACATGGCCTGCCAATGAATTTCAACAGATCACCAAGAAATGGGTACAACACTAAATTTAAAAAGGACTTAAAATCCTTTATATTGAATCACTCTTTATACTCTGTTGAGGAATTTGTGTCGTTTTAAATTTTAAATGTGTCAGTGTATCACAGTATCTTAAAATGATAAAGATCGTGTTTTCACGTCATTTTTATAACCTTGGGTACAGTGCTTATCCTGGTAATTGAAAATTTTGTATGCGGTTCTGTCGTACTGTATCTCATTTTTATAGTTGTATGTCTGTGACGTGTACACAATTTCCGTATGTAGTTAAGTATTATAGTAGGCCGGGCCGCGCCCTAGCTCAAGCGGTTAGTCGCTGGCTTCCCTTCGCGGCGGCCCGGGTTCGATCCCGGGTCTGGTCAAGTGGGATTTGTGGTGGACAAAGTGGCGCTGGGGCAGGTTTTCTCCGAGTACTTCGGTTTCCCCTGCCAATCTTCATTCCACCAATCGCTCCACAATCACCCTCACCTATCATGTGGGGCTGGTACAATACGCCAGAAGTGGCCGCAGTACAAGGGACTTAGTCCCACCCCACTAGCAATAAAAAAATAAGTATTATAGTATTGGTGCCTTCCATACGATAAAAGTAATAAGTACTGATCACAGGTACACCACTCTGATCAAGTCACATAGCTGTTCTGAATATATCCTAACAATTCTTCATTCAGTAAAAGCTATAGGACTTAGTTTGGATTCAGCTGTTTGCACTGTGTCGGTTATATCAGAGTTTACTAGGTTTGCATTCCCAAAGCCAGGGGAGCGGGTAGGTTCACCGTGCGACTACTGTAGCTTGTCCCTGAACTGGGCTTTCGCGCTAGCGTCGACGTGAATATGTTACTCCCAGATCATGCAATCCTTTTCCATACGACCTGATATCCGGGCCAAAGTTCGTCATTGAGCATTATTCATAAGGGCCAAGTACGTCGTTGTGTTCTCGCTATATTATCTGTGATATTAATTCTGCTTTACGCTAGCTATCAGTACCTGAGAGCATACGACCACCGTTAGCTTGGAGAGCTATGTTTCTGATAGTTGGCTGTCGTCTCACTTGTTCTTGACTTGAAGCAAATCTATTCTGTCGATTCATCTTTGCACTGGTATAAGCGGAATACAAACACACTATGAGTTCAAGAGTAGTATGGTTGATAGAACAGCTTATGTCACTACACCTTATACACCTGCAAACTAAACATAGAGCAACGACACATACCAAAACTCAACACTAACTTCTCGACCTTTCAACATCGATAGCGTGCGATAGCATGATTCCCCATTCTCTATGTCTCATGCCCCCTCTTCCCCCTCCAGGCAAGCAACATATCACGTGATAATAAAAACTAATATTTTGTGAATTTTTTGCTACAAATTGCGCGCATGGCACGTACTTTTCTTACATTTTAAGGACACGATTTGAACCACATGCCCAATTATCGTTTTCGCCACAGACGTTCAGACGCTTTACAATTTGAAAAACATCAGTTGGCTTGTTTTGTCCGCAACAGTGGCCCTACACGACCTAAACACGCAACTTCGTAATTTAATCGAGAGATGGCAATGAGGGCAATGAGAGACCGTTGAGTTGTTTATTGGTGACGAAGAATTAGATGCTGGCGTTCAAATCAGGTGCTGTGTTTTGTGTATCGTATAATCCTATGGCTCTGAAATAATTTTTGCTGTAGAATGGATGTTTAGTTTAATTTGATCCAGTGTTTGGTTATGGTTATCTAAAAACAAAAATTAAAGTATGCATACTATAATTTTGCATGTGGTTCTGTATAGGTGTGAAACTATTCTCACGCATTAAGGGAGGAACACAGACTAAGGGTGTTGAGGAGAATATTTGGACTGAAGAGAGATGAAGTGATGGACGGTTGGAGAAAACTACATAATGAGGAGCTTCATAACTTGTACTCTTTTCCAAGTGTAATTAGAATGATCAAGTCATGGAGGGTGAGATGGGCAGGGCATGTAGCACGAATGGGTGCGAAGCGAAATGCTTATATGATATTGGTGGGAAAGCCAGAGGGAAAGAGACCACTGGGAAGGCCAAAATGTAGGTGGGTGGCCAATATTAAAATGGATCTTAGAGAGATAGGATGGGATGGTATGGATTGGATTGATCTGGCTCAGGGTAGGGACAAGTGGAGGGCTCTTGTGAACACGGTAATGAACCTTGGGGTTCCATAAAATGCTGGGAAGTTCCTGAGTAGCTGCACAATTGGTGGCTGAATTTTAAAGGAGTCCCCTAGCATGACATCTGTCACTGAAATATGTATATTTAAATTTGAAGTCATTCGTACAGGTATAGTTAAATACCTGCTTGAACACAATTGTCCAGCTTTTTAAATTTATCCAGTCTCATTGCTCCTTGGAAATTTATTAAATTTTAATTGTCTGCAAGATATACATATATGAATGTATAACAGTGAGTTCAGTTTTCAACCAGAATCATTTGAACTTAAATGGTGAGTATCATACAATTGGAATGGTGCAGTTATGTTGGTGAGAAGATAAATACAAGAATGTTATGCCAATAACCATAAACTTATGGTATACAGTTGAGGTCCCGTACTCTGTTGCAGGTTGCAAGTTATGTCAATTTCTGAAGTGTTTTATCATAATCTAGAATACAATGTAATGGAATTATTGAAAACCGTGAAGACAGTGGTCATGTGAGTTGGAACACCATGTAGATCAATAGTTAGCCCAGTGTTTCAAAGGAACATATTGTCTCTTTCTTCAGGGATGACACATAAGCCTAGCAAGAAAGCATCAGAAGCAATGCTGGGCTTCCCACCTGCTTCTGCATGATTTCTTGCTTGGCTTACTTTTCATCCCTGAAGATGGAGGTGATATGTCCCTCTGAAACATCTGAGTCTTTACTATATAGCGTTACAACTGAGGAGGCTATACTCTTCATAGTCACTGCCATGAGAATCTGAAATCCAACATAAAAATCAGTGTTAGAGAATTAGTTGCCTCCCTATTTTTATCATTAATAATTTTAATAATACATGAACATGCATCCATTATTGTAACAGTGGCCACAAGTGAACTGCTCAGCTTGGAGCTCATTTCCCAAGTACTCTAAGGGAGTGCCAATTTGTTAGGAAGGATGGAAACAGCATGACAAGGAAAAACCTTTTACTCCCAGTGGGAGAGAAATAATTCACAACCAACATTCAGTCGTAAACAAGTTGTACCAACAAGAGAGCAGTCTATATACTATATTATATACTGTAGTAGAACAGTTCTCAAGTATGGCTACCAACCAGAGTCATGAATAATAGTAGAAAGTCATACATAATTACTGATTTCAATCTTTCGTGGTTGTTAATTATTCATGTTAATTCTGTCCTTTGGTTGTTACATTGTGGGTGTGGGAGATGTTGTCAGTGATGGAGGTACATGCTTCGCCATCTTAAGTGTAGCAGATACTGTAATGAGATCTTCATTTTGATGCTGTAGTGTTCTTCGTTTCCTTGTAGAATGATCATTCATTATTTTTATATGTATTTTTCTCTCTTGCTTGTTTCTTAACAGCTCACCAGACGTCACTTTTTGAATAGCCCTTGTAATTCCCATATAATGTAGCTAACTTAATATAAGAGGGCCTACATAAATCAGACTGTAAATACTTCTTTTAGCAAAAGAAGATGCTTCTTGATGATATCGATATAAAAGTTCTTTACACACTGAAAAGTAACAGTGTCACATCTGGCTCAAGAGCCCTGGGTTTACATGGAATTACAACATGTAAGTCAAATTCTCTGATATTCTTTAGTTTCAGTCTTTTTTGCATTTCAGCTGACCTTTGATCACACTAACTCTAGAGGAGATGGATGCATACGCTGTCAAATACTTGTCAGATCCTTGATTTTATAGACATCCACAGCTCAGTACATTGTGACTAGTTAGACTGTTGTGGATATTCTGTCACAAAGTTGATGGCAACTGTTTTCTAAGACAGGAAAGGTGTTTTGATGGTAGAATTCATGGAACAGTGGACCACAATAATGTCAGAAGTGTTCTATGAAACATTAATAAAACTGCGTAGGGCCATTCAGAATAAAAAGCCATGCAATGCTGGCACCTGGTGTGGTGCTCCTCCATGACAATGCACATCCATATGCAGCTGCTTGCACTTGAGTACTGCTGCAGCATTTCATATTGGAGTTGTTTGACTACCCTCCATACAGCCCTGATCTTGCTCCAAGCGACTACTACCTGTGTGCCTACCTAAAGAACTGGTCGAAATCACAGCACTTCATCAATAATGAGGAGTTAATGGAAAGTGTCAAAACGTGGCTGAGTTCACAGGCGGTAGATCTCTCTGACATGGGCATATAAAACTTATTCTCTGATATGACAAGTGCCTGTGTTTCAGTGTTCACTACGTTCAGAAGTAGCTTAAGTATGTACGTATTTTTGTAAACGGGTATTAAATTGTTTAAGTGGTAGGTAAGGCTCATGCATTCTTTAAGCACAGTTAATGCCATTAGCAATGAACATTAATCATGAGTCCTGTCATAAATGTATTTTCTTTTTTGCCACTCATGCGTTTTCAAACTACTTTGCAAAACAAGAAATGGAAAAAAAAATACATCTGTCTAGTGTGAAATATTTTTCTCATAGTAGACTTTAAAAGGAGTTGGGATAGCTCAGTTGATACAGCAACGTGCTATGGGCTGAATGGCACCGGTTGGATTCCTGGCAGTGTAAGATTTTTCTCTCCTCCACAGTATCCAACCATCTCTGGGGCCTACCCAGCCTTCAATCCAATGGGTATTGGGGTCTGTTTCCCTGGGGGTAGAGTGGCAGGGGTGTGAAGCTGACCACTCACCTCCATCTAATGCCAAGGTCAAGAATGGTGGAGCTATCCCTCCACACTCCCCCATATTTCTTCCTGGCATGGTGCTTAACTAATGAAGCACAGGGACACCTTTACCGTTTTATGGTAGACTTTTAACTGAACATTGCATGTGGTTAACAGTTGTACTTCATATCTAGGAAGTTTCATGTTCAAATTTCTGCCCACTGACAAGTTTCGTTGCAAAACTTCTCATGGTATTCTTATGTCAGGCAAATACATAGGTAGTACCTTAAAATATACCACAGCCACTTCCTTCCATATGTTTATTCCATGATTCACAGTCGGCGTTTGACACTACACAGCCTGTACAGTTGAGAATCAATCAGTATATTTCAAAGATTGTTTTATTTAAAGACCATTTCTACCTTTAAGTAGAGTGTAATATGGAGCACAGATAATTTTGGACCCATCAATTACTGATCATCATCATGATTATAATAATAGTACTAAAATGCCAATATCAGACATGATTAAAAGCCATGACATATGCATTCAGCAGACTGACATGGAATTTGATGCATTTGTTTTGCATGAATGCATTTATGATGTGCACAGTAATATTCCTGATTTACCATATTTCCTGCTGTATAAAGTGCAGTTTTTTTCCTTTAGAAATGCCCCTCAAAATCATAATGCTTCTTATACACTGGTTGTCCTATACATCAACAAGTAATTAAGAAAGACAGGTACTAGTAGATATTAGAACTATTATGTTTTGTTTTTTTCATTATCTGAGCAGAACTGTCTACTTTAATTCATAAGTAATTTTGTTATAATTATAAGTGTTCATCAGTTTCACCATTGCAAACCATTATGTATCTCACACACCATGAAATTGTAGAGACTCATGACATTATTTCTGTTTTCCTCATTGAAATGCTAGGTAAAATATCTGCTTAAGTAATTTAGGAATTGGTCTTTCTTTATTATACAAGCCCAGAACTAAATTCTCTGCTCTTTCAGAGGACAGTGTCATGGTAAACTAAAGCAATCTTAACATAAAATTCCTGTCTACAAAACCTTCTCCACTTTAAAATTATAAAATAGCTGTTTCTTTTCAGTAACGAAATATTTTAGCATGCTAAGATCCAATACTAAGCAGTCTCCAGATTCATAAATGTTTTCCACATCATCTTCACTATGCACTTTATTCCTGAAGATTGCTGTTCTGTTGTTTCCTTTGGAATAGAATTCAAATTCATATTCAAATTCTGCAGCTTTCTCCTTTCTTCCTATGTACTGGATCACCTCAAACAGCTTCCCCTGCTTGGCATCTCGTTTGGAGTGGCACCAAAACATTTCTCTATAAGCGGATAAGATGTGGGTACATATGTAGTCTGTCTTATGATCAAAATTATCATATACAAGACTGTTATAAGCCTTCACCCACACCAGTTCCTTATGCTCATCTTTCATGTGTTCCAAAATCTGAAAGAATAAAAAATCCGGTATTGTTAAATCAATTATCCAAGCAAAAGAGTCAGTAATACAAAGTTATAAAAAGCTGCCTAATGAGCAGAATTTGTGCTTTTCACCAGTGATGTTAGGATTGTAAGATCAAGAAGGATGTTTCGGACTGTGACCTTCTGGGTTGTGGTACCTTTTAGTTTTGTTAAGTGGATACCAACTTTTCAGAGGAATATACAGGAATTATGTCAACTGTCAATACAACAAATATACTCAGTTTTAATATTCAATCATTTATTGCTGCTACATTAAATATTAAAACTGAGTATATTTGTTGTGTTGATGGTTGACATAATTTCTATATATATAATATGAAACACACAACAGGATGCAACCAATGAAGATTTTCAGAGGAATATGCTACATCCATCTTCAGGGTCAATGTGAATGTTGTGAAGATGTGGAATGTTATGTAGGCAGATTGTAAAGTAATAACTCAGATCCACATGAGAGGGACAGGAGACAGTCTGGGCCTGTAAGAACAGTAAACAGAAAATTAGAAAGAAAGAAAAGAAAAAGGCCCAGTTTAAGGCCAAAGTATTGTCACAGGGGAGACACGAAAGTGTGAGAAAGCGGTCATCGCTCATCTCTATATAATCTAACTGCATTCTCACTTTGACCCTGAAGTCAGAGGCAGAATATTCCTCTGAAACACTGATATCTAACTACAAGATTACACCAAAATCACTGCAATGAAAACTTCAAAACTTACAAGGAGGATGAGGTGGATGGAGCATGTAACACAAGTAGGGAAAGTGAGAAATACATATAAAATTCTTGTTGGACGATCTGAAAGGAAAACATCGACATAAATGAGATGATTTATATTAGGCTGTATCTTAAAGAAACACAATCGAAGGTTGGATTAATCCAGCTCAGTACAAGGACTAGCAGCTGTGAACACAGTAATGAATGATGCATTTGGGGTTCACACAGAGGTGATCATGAAGAGCAGAACCTGCTGCCCACTTGCTTCTTGCTTGGTTTTTTCTTTAACACCGAAGATGGAGACAGCATTGCCATCCGAAACTTCTATAGAAAACTATATGGCATCATGACCCAAAATATTTTTCTTGTCTCTCTCTCTTTTTTTCCTGGGGAGTAAAGTGCGGCTGGCGTGTAAGGCTGACAACATTACCGCCATCTTTGAGCAGATTGTCTAGATAATGTGGGACCCTCAACATCTCACAACCCTATGGGCCTTCAAGGCCTGGTACAGGGATAGCTTTACTTACTTTTACTTATTGGCTAACTGACTAACAGTTAGCTTCTCAAGGACTCTACTCCATAGCTAGTTACTGACATTTATACATTTAAAATGGAAGTCGTAGTGTGGCCATTTTGGCCTTTTAGGTCTTGAAGGAACAGAAGTTCATTAAACCTACAAACAGCATTAACTAATATTACAATAGAAGTGCATAAAATCTTATCTAAACCTGTTACAAGGCGCCAAACGTGTAGTCTTACAGGTTCATTTGGACCATTAAGTAAACTGCCCCCCCCCCCCGAGAAATAACAGAATTTGACTACATAAAGCTGAGTCCCCCTTGGTAAGTTGATGTGCACTCAGTCAGTCAAGAAGTTCCCTGTATTTCATGGAACAAAAATAATTCATTATGGCCTCACAAAAGCCCATAACTAAACCCTACATCTTGACCACATTCACAACCTATCTGAAATCCACTTTAATGTTATCTTCCCAACTATGCTTAGATCTCCCAAGATGTTTGTTCCCTTCCAATTTTGTGACTACAGTTTTGTATCCACTGCACCATCTTTTCTAACGCATGTTCTTCAGCTGTTATAAAAATTAATCAAAATAACTCGGAAGTATTTAATGTAGTTGATCTGGAGACTATTATGTGGAAGCAGATGTGCTTGCTTGCTTGCTTGCTTACTTACTTACTTACTTACTCATGGAGCTGAGCCCTTCTGGAGGAGCTGCCAATTCTGCAGCTACTCAAGAATTTCCCAGCATTTTATGGAACCCGAAGGTTCATTACCGTGTTCACAAGAGCCCCCCACTTGTCCCTATCCTGAGCCAGATCAATCCAATCAATACCATCCCATTGTATCTCTCTAAGATCCATTCTAATATTGTCCACCCGCCTACGCCTTGGTCTTCCCAGTGGTCTCTTTCCTTCTGGCTTTCCCACCAATATCCTATACGCATTCCTCGCCTCCCCCATTTGTGCTACATGACCTGCCCACCTCATCCTCCTTGACTTGGTCATTCTAATTATACTTAGAGAGGAGTACAAGTTATGAAGCTCCTCATTTTCAGTTTTCTCCAACCTCCTGGTACTTCATCTCTCTTTGGTCCAAATATTCTCAACACCCCGTTCTCAAACACCCTCAGTCTATGTTCCTCCCTTAATGTCAGAGACCAAGTTTCACACCCATACAGAACCACAGGCAAAATTATAGTTTTGTATATTCTAATTTTTATATTTTTGGACAGCTGACGAGAAGACAAAAGGTTCTGGTCTGAATGGTACCAAGCATTACCCGAGTTCAATCTCCTCCTGAATCAGGTTTCGATCTGTTATTGTTGTTCCCAAATATCTTAATTGTGCCATATTTTCAAAACATCTGTTTGCTATCTTTATATCATGATTTTGCCATGCATTTTACTGTTCATTGTAAGCTCATCAATTTTGTCTTTCAGATATCCCCTCTTTTTGTTCCTGAAATGCATGCTGATTTCACATCTTATATTGTTCAGATTATCCCCATTTAACTCACTTGGATCCTGTGACCATTGCAGTTTGGTATGCTTTCTTTGATCTAATAATTTTGAGCATCCTTCACTGAACAATGGCTTATGCTTCTTCGGTTCATAATAACCTAGGCTCTCTTTGGCAGACATTTTTATATTCTAATAGTTTCCCAAGCTTTATTAACATCCACCTCAGTTTCCTAGTTTTCCAAACTGCAATCATATTTGAGATATCAACACAATACTGGGAAGCAGATGGGCCAACATGGAAAAATTAATCAGTGCTTTAAAGTCTGATTTCCTTACTCTGTAACCAGCCAAATGCCTGGACAGAGATAAGAACCAGGTTTAAAGACTGAGGTTGGGACAATGTGCTGCCTGGTCAGGGCCCTCCCACCCCTCAGGGAGCATGAGAGATGAGTATGAAGCAATGGTGGAATGATGATTACCAGGGGAAAACGGAAGAAAGTCGGGGGCAGACATGTTACAGTGTCAGTTCGTTCAACACGAAGCTCACATGAAGTCACATGGGATTGAAGCCGAGTATCTCCAGTGAGAATCCTGTGTCTGACAGCCTGGTTATTTGGCTTATTAAGCTTTTTTACGAAAAGCATTTAACATAAAAAACAATCTCTCTTAATATATGAAAAAATTAAAAGCTAAGGCTACCCCTGTAACAGGCCGTGAAGGCCCATATGTTTGTGAGACGTTGAGGCTCCCATATTTTCTAGACAATCGGCTCACAGATGGCAGTGGTGATGTCAGCCTTACGCGCCGGCCGCGCTTTACCCACCCCCCAGGAAGATTTCTGTTAAAGAGTCGACCCCAGGGCCGTAGTGCGGCTGGAAAGGTTAGGTCAATTAAAAAATCCAGTGACCTCACGGGAATCGAACCCGCGACCTTCCGGCTTGTAGCATAGTTCCTCAACCAACTACGCTACCACGTGCCCTTCTCTTAATATATAAACTGTAAAAATGTTATGTCGTACTGTCCGCGTTTATAGACCTGGCCGTGCTCAACACAATGTTCACAGATCCAACAGACCACTGAGATAAGAATTGTGTGTGTGGGGAGGGGGGGCGTCCTAGCGATAACAGGGCTGTAGTGCCTCGCTTTCGCTCCCATAATCCAGCTGCAAAATATGCCCTTGTACTTCTGCCAACAACCCAGCAACTCACGTGTAAAAACACAGCCAACCTGTCTCACGCTGCAAGTCTAGTGTGCTGTTTAAAAACGACTTTTCTACCATACCGTAATTTCCGCATGATGGCGGCACTGTTTTAGGGCAGTCATTTCACATGCAGAGCAAGTCATAATTGGGTCAGCTGGGTTCATTTTGCTCACGGAGTATATGTATGTGTCCATATGACTGTAGAAATAAACAGCGCCTGAAAAGGGAATTACCCCGCTGGTCGTTATAATGGAGATGCAGCGTGTTTCCTGTGAGGTAGGAACTGAATATTTAAACAAAATTTCAATTAAATTCATGCTTCAAACTCTAGTTCTTAAATTGGAAATATACTTCAGCAACAAATACGTATGAAACAAATTTCGGGAAGACCTAATCGCCTACTTTCACTGCAGTCTGAGTATCTGATATGTGACACAGAAAAACGATGTCTGTATGTATGATTAATGAAGTCAATAAGACAATATTGTAACGTGCTTTGCGTTACTGATTCCACTTTTGACACCAGTGTAACGTGTTTACGTTACTGAAGACGCCGTAGAGATGTTTAATTGATTTATTTAACGATCTACAAATAACGGCTACAATTACTTATCACACAGTTGCGGGGTTTCACACTTTATAACCCTAATCGCATTAAACTGCTAACACTGTTGCGGGGTCTCACACTTTATAACCCTATGCGCAAATCAGTTCACTCTGTCTTCAGTAGTCTACACGTTTATAGTAGGGGAGCTATGTATCACTGTATCACGCGCTCCCAATTACACAATTACACACACGTCCGGATCTTCTTACCGCGACGG